GACCCACGATCACGCTTGAGGTGCAGCCGGTTTTCCCTTAACCTAACCAACGCGGGCGGTGCCCCTTAACGCGTTGAGGCAAACACCTTAACGAATGACGTATGTAACATGCGCTACAGACACACTTAAAAGAATAAGTTAACATGGACGAGGTCATTTGTCTTTTACTTGCATTCTCATCACCGGTGATGTAGAGAACACCGCTCTAAGCTTCGATGCAGGGAAAGTGGAATTTACAGCTGTTCTCAAATAGTGTACTAGGCTTTGTGTTTGAGCCTCTTTAAACGGAATACTTATAAATAATTTTTTTTTTTTTAACTGATTGATCTGAGTTACTGGATCACAACCGCGAGTATACTGATGACATTGTCGTCCTTGGTGAGATGACCAGGCTCCCCACAGCATGCCCCAAATGAGAGGGAAGTCATAGTGGCAAGTGACTACAAAAGCACCAGTATGGTCGGGGTAGGTGTCTCGGCTTGTGGCTGGTCACTGTTCCCTTTCACCTCATGAAATGCTCCTATAAGATCAATCATCTCAAACAGCCTCTGCTGAAGAAGCCTACTCACTGCCTTCACGTGGAGCAAGTAATTTCCCAACAGAGTGAAAGGACGAAAAACCAACATCCGGGGCTATAACCGGGACGGTGAACCACTGGCAGTTCATCTAGCGGAGTTGGCTAAAAACCCTGATTACAAACCAACCAAGAAGAGGCGTACAAACCACACACACCTTTCTGGTTGTGGCATTGGTCACCGGCTCAATTGGGCACCTTGGACGTTCAACCCCGTCCAAAGGGCGTACGATCCGATGAAGTGGACACCGGTGCCCAATGGAGTGCGTTTTTCATACTGCCTTGCATGTCAAGCTTTGGCTAGCCGAATTCTCCGAAAAATTCACCTGACTGGGCCTGGGAAACATAGCAGTATTTTTTCTACAAATAAATCACGGAGCTTTCTTTTTTATAAAGATGATTGGTGCAGTCTGGGTTCAGACGTGTGTGAAACAAATACTTGGCGGCCAGTTGAAAATTCGGATCAACACCGTGAAATTCAACACGAATTGCTTGTGCCTGCACTGTTTACGGTTCCCGAGATGGAACCAAAGGTGGATATCGATTTGCGCTGACCTCATCGCCGGCCACAGTGTGTGGGTAGCTGAAATCAGGGACACTCATCGCAAGAAGCAGCTGCATAATAGTGAAAGTAAGTAGAATAAGATGTGCTGTGCGACGTAGTGAACTTCTTTGTAAAGTCCACCATCCATAATGGCCCAATCGAAGATAGGCGACATTCGGAAATTCATATTCAGCCTATACTATAGTGAGGATAACGGGTAATCTGGCAGTTAGGACCCGGAGTGATACTGGGTAAAACGACAGTTGAGATGACCAGGCTCAAATTGAGCAGGTGTGTAACCGTGGCTTTGCTGAGGCGACGACAGAATGAGGGAGTTGCGGTGTTGGACTGCCGTCGAGTCAGATGGGCTTTACACAATGTTAAGGGTGAACCTTGCAGCTCTAGGGATGTGGGGAAAAGGATAATAGGCACACACTTGCGTATGCATAGCGAATTTACAGCTAAATTAACAATCTGAGTGCAATTCTGTTCATCCAGAGCGAAAGTTCGCAGATGGTGATTCTGTTCTCCTGCGCGGTGCTCTTTTTAGGATTAATTCGACGAATGCAACTACTGAAAGCTATTCACAAGGTCAAGCATTATAAGGATTGCAGTGACTTGTAGAAATTTTAGTGAACTAGCGCTATTTTTTGTATTTGCGGAAAGCGTGACGTGTTCGACAGAATGTGTTTACATCATGTATCATCTTCATCCTTAGTCCGTCCTCATCATTACTGAAGCCAAACTCCATCGGTTACGCAATGAATGTTACGCTTTGTTCTCCGTTTCACCAGCGGCAAAAGAGGCAAAATCAAAGTTACACCAAGATTGCAAGATTGCGTGAGGTTTCAGACCACATTAACAGAAGAAGAATCAGCTCATAACTACAAACGGACACAGTAAGCCTGAAGTCACCGAGTCTAAAGGTATTCGAGTAGAAAGCAGAAGCTAAATAGCACACACTATATGGCTTTAGAAGACGGAAATTAAGCATACCATGATTGGTTGATTTTCTTCCGGTGGGGGGAAATCGAAGTCCTCCTCGGCTTCCGTGTCTGATGCTTCGGTTCGACTGAGACCTGGTGAGTCTGCGACCCAAATGCAAGACAATTTGACGGAGACAATGGGAGTGTGCGTAATAGATGGTGGCAAAGATACAAATCAAACGCATAAGTATACGATGGGATAAATCCACACCTTAGAGCTATCAAAGTGGACAAGGGAAAAAAGGTGAGTAAAGATACACTTCTGAACGAAGGGGATGGACAGGAGCAATATTTGTAGAGGCACACAGACAAGCGACAAGTAGATTAGTTATTCATGCAAACGGGTATTCAGGCTTAAGGTTAGGAATAAGTGGTTCCTAATGGGCACGAGCTACGCCAATACAGGACCGAGTCCATTTGATTTGAAACCGGTGTGAGCTGGAGTTGTCGGGACTCAGAATGAAGCACGACTGAAAACGGTATATGTACTCATCTTTGGAAGAACCCGAACTTAAGGAAGCACCATGGTGACAAGCCTAATCACAGGAACAAACAATTCAATACTGAATCTTTTTTTATTTAATGCCCAGGGTGAGATGGTGCTTGCTGACAAATTGCCGTAATGAAAAGCTTGAAAGAGATGATTTTCCCATGTTCATTGGTTATTTATTCAAATAACACCGACTGCATAAAACACGCTTTCACAGCGCACATTTGCGTGATGAACAGCAGACGGATTGAACCCCATAGTCACGAAGGCTTCCTGTTCAGCAATGGAGGCCGGCAACTTAAATGCCGAGACGTAAAGTGGCGAACAACACAGCAATCTAATCAGTGAGATTCATCTCGAACGCCTGTAGATAGGATGATGAGATTTTGTGTGCTTACGTATTTCCACTACATTAGGCTTGTATATGGAATTGAACTTTGACGAAGGAAAAACGATTTTATTCCGGATAATGTGGCTGAAGTAAGCATAATGGTATTTTTTACCGGCTAACGGATCAAATCCAACCACGTCTTTTGCTGAGCAACTAAAAACACTAATCAGGGAAACTTCTCACAAGACTTCGAATCGTCTTTGGGTGAACACCCAATGAGAATGACAGTGGATGCTTTCTTTAGCATAGATTCATTTTGGCAGCGAACCCAGAAACATTTTCTATGGAGAGAGGGTTAAACCAGGATTGTGATGTGAAAAAAACAAGCGCATTACAGTTTTGATACAACAGACAGGCTCTGTTGAAATGAACTGTATGGTGGAGTTGTCTTGCGTGCAAGAAAGCATGAAGTCGTCCAATCTTCCAGGGTGTCAGAATCAATGACGTCTGCGTTCAGATGTCCTAAAAGCATTTTGCATCCTTCAGGCACATCACCCACGTCAAAGTTTAAATGCCCATGGGAGTAGTGATACGATACATATGCACACGAAATTTCGTGGTCTTACTTGCATGCATTCTCGAGAAGCTGTATAAAAATGAGGTCGCATTAAAACCAACTCGTGCAGTGTGGTTCAAAAACTGCAACAGCATTTAACTCTCTTAGCTAAAATCTAGGAGGGGAAATTCAACAAACTCGGAGGGAACGACATGGGATGGGAGCGAAACAAATGAACAATGGCAAGCTTGAGGTTAGTTTGACTGGCAACTGGGAGGAACGTCCACAAGACGACGGGACAAAGCGCATGCAAGACAGAGTACAAACCACAATAAATCCACTATGGATTACTTGAATTGTGGTAGCCATCGTACACTCCAACACTGAGGGGTTGGTGATAGTTGAGATGTGGGATGTTCATCTGGGGTCGTGGCCGCATAGTTCGTGCTACAAGTTGAAGTAGAGTTTGAGACGGAAGATCGATATTCAAAAAGGTAGTGCAGTTGAATTGAGTGCGTTTTAGGATAACCAAACATGAACTGCGTAGGTTAGTAAATCAGAGATATTTACCTGATCTCCATCTAGGGAATCAGCAAATGGCGAGTTGGTGGTAAGAAGGAAAAACCAATTGCGAAAGTTAAGCTTTCTTGGTGAGATAAGAACAACGGCAAGCGGACGTTGGTAACCACAACATTTACTCGAAACTGCAGATCAGACAAACGCATCGATGGGAAATTGGTGCATCGTCCAGACGGGATACCGGAGTGTGACTGCATCACATAAAGTTCACCCTGGAACTTACCATCAGGTGAACANCGGTTCCTTCTGCGTAGAAGAAATCAGCGCACCGAGTGGATTTCAGTTTTATACAAAGAAAGAAGAGGTCTCTACAAAGGAGTTAACTAAAAGAGCAAGATGTGACGGGTAATAACCAGTCACTAAACGCCAAACTAATGCCGTTGTTTTCATCACAGAAAGAATGTAAACCTACCCTGCAAAGACATATCCTGCAGTTCCTGAATGGGCATATCACGCTCGGAACCTTTGGGAGGCTGATGGACATTGGTAGCACGTTGATAATGTTGATGATAATACTGGGTTGGGAGTATGGACTGTCCGACAGCCTGTTTTACAACACCCACAGCGGATAGCAGATTCCGGTTTGAAGAGCGCCAACGTTCTTGGGCCCGCGGGTCTTTGATCTCCGTAACCAAACCTTTGGCCTCGGTAACCATTGGGGTGATTGCTTCAAAAAATGAATGAAGATATGAGCGCATATATCGTAAGTGACCGATTAGAAAGACATAATGGGTGGGTACAATAAAACTGATAGATCCCAAGTGGTCCAGCGACCCAGTATGATCGAGGGTGGATTCTGAGACAAGCTTATTTCAGTGCCTGGGGTTCTTTTCGAAATACTCACTAGTAAGAAGTCTTCTTTATCCTCTTTTTTGACGAGTTTGTTTTCAAGTAAGAGAACGTGAAGCTAAATGCCGGGACTAAAACTAGATTGAATAGTCACCAGAAATTATCCCAATTAAGCGAGTAGTCAAACCCTTATTTAAACCGACTCGGAATGAGGAGTAAAAACTAGTTCCTGCACTTCTGGAGCACCAACAAACTTCGGAGCTCCGTTCGAAGGGTATATTATTTGAGTGAATGGATACCACTACCTAGTGAAGTAGGGATAAACCGCATCAATTCACTGTGTTACGGTTTGGACGTGTTAGTGACCGGGGTAGTCAGTCATAAGGATGGCACCGGGTGTCCGAGTTCTCTATTTCGTCATCAGTCTAATCTACAGTCAGACACTGTGATTTAACTGAATGTCTTTAACAGAAGAGTTCACACGTTTCTTCGCTGCTCCCACAGATCGCAATTACCTGCATCGTTACTTAGGTAACGCTTTCAGTTCACTTTTAGATTCATCAAATGAGTCGCCGAAAGGCAGCAATTAACGGGCGCACTAAAGTAGCAGATCATCGGTTGTACAAACAGAATTTAAGTGGTTAATACAACAATGGAGAGAAACAAGAAATTTACATGCAACCCTTTCGTCCACTCATGTTTCTAATCTTCGTAGACTTAACATATTTTGTTCCAGGCCAGTGATTGTATAAAACAAAGATGGATTAGTACGATAAGAATTTCTGAGGATCAGAGATTACTTCATTTTTACTTCAGGAATGTCACAAGCGAGTTTGTTTGATTTTATTATTATTATTATTATGATTGTTACTATAAAAAGAGGTAACTAAAAGTGCAACGTCGAACGAAAACTCCGGTGGGAGTAACCTAAATACTGTAAGAGAACGGGTTAACCTGACAAAGGAAACCAGCATCTTACGGAGACACGTTCAGTCGTGAAAAGAACACCCTGCTTTTGAGTGTTATCAATGCACGAGTGGTAGGGTGATAAAGTCAACCGAAGCGAAATGAATCGAACACCACCGACAGTATGGAAAAGACTCTATCATAAAACGACCACTTATAGTTTACCATTTACAGACGTCCTGTGGGTAAAAATTCATTCACATATACACTGCAACTTAAATATTAAGGTAAAAATATTAAACTTCTAATATTTAGTAATCAAAAAGAATCTTTGTTCATGTTGTTTTTGTTTGTTCTCCGAGATGGAAGTGCTGATCGCAGACGTTTCGTAGCGGGGCTAAGCAACATCGTCAGTGCAACTTTTGGAAAGATGTTGTCTAGTCTGCTACGAGATGTCTGTGAAAAACGCTTTCAGCTCAGAGAACATACCAACTCCAGCATCCCGTGCTACAATAATTCCACATTACACTCACACTTAGAATCAATTTATCTTAGTTACAGATAGAACGAGTAGGATACCAAATTTTGTATGTTGCGATGTCACGCTATAAATGTGGCACGTGATCCAAGTGCTCCTCGGTGATAAGATGATAGGTGTGCAAAAAGAGTTACACAGCCTTTGAACGCAATTATTAATTGGTATTGGTGTGTTCTTCAGAAGTGAAAAGACTGATTCAGCTTGGTGTAACATTACCCTGGCACTTTTGTAACTTCAAACTTATCCATCGAAGGAATGAAAATAACGAATGATTAATTATGGTTGTGAAGTGCCCACCCTATAAAGACCCATTCGGTCAGGCAACCCAGATTACGCACATTGTCAGGCATAAATATTAAAAAACTTTCATAAACCTTCACAAACGCTCACTTCCACACTTCATTGTTTGGTTTAGTAAATATTCCGAAGTGGATAAGCGCTATCACAAAGCGTGGGAACTTGCAATAGAATACTCAGGAGTTAATCGAACACTAATGAAAGACCGTCATCAGCTTCTCCGTAAAAAAGACAGTCAGTGGTCATTATTAGTGAGTTTTTATAGTTTTTTTCCGCCAACTGTGTGGCCCAAGTTTTTCAGCACACAGCACTCAAGTACCACGTGCTTCTAGGAATTTCTTATTCACTTTTTGTTACTCACGAGTAATATGTAAGTGGAGGGAGAAAAAGTGCAATCGACAATAGGTTGAATGGAAGTAAATCTCAAACGGACGGGATTATGGAGCATTGAAAGCTGAAGACACTGCTAAAAACCGTTCAGTGATAGAAAGCCCGACGTTAGGTACCGAGGTTAATCAACAGCATGTACCTTCATATACAGGGAGGATACAATGAAACCCTTTACCTACCGTATGGTTCCTTTAATTAGTATATACGGCCATTCTCCCTCGGCAATGAACGATGTGGACCACTGATAACCACTAAATACCCATTGGTCGATTTGAAATAACTATGGGCCAATGACTGGTTTTGTTGCTCAAATGCTCGTGACAAACCAACAGCTATAAATGATGCTACCGGTTAATCTATCCGACTGCTATTTTGCCGTGCTCAATATAACAGATGAGGCGATGGTCAATTGACTTACGCTACAACAGTGTTCAGACTGGTCGGAAATGAGTAACTCAATGAAAATTATTCAAAGTGAAATATTTGAAAAGAATAATTAAGGTGTTTCAGAGTTCAAAATTTTTACAGTACACAGTGTTGATAATCATGGTACCCATACTTCGTTTGTATGGATACATTCCCAAAGGCTGATACGCCACCCCCTTCATTCATCGAGAACCACGAGTGAGGTTTCCAATCTATTCTAAATTTCATGTCAGAGTCGAGATAATTTTTGCTCGCATCGAGCTGAATTCATATCCACATGGCTCGCCATTGCAGCAGCTGTCGCGCCTAATATGTTCCAGTTTTTGAGGTTTCGGCAGTAGGTTACTATACCAACGAAACTGAACAGTGAGAACTCGCGACAATGAGAATTCCCCCAGTCTGCCGTTCGCTACAATCCGTTGTGTACTAAGACGGTTGAGGCGACACTGTACGCGATATGTATACCTAAGATACAAAATGCTGCTCGATTGTTGAATCGACCGAAATCGTAAATAGATCAAGTGGATAGAGCAAGTGGATACTTTCAACTTCCGACAGACGGTCTATGATGAAGGATCTCATGTATTTTCCATCGTGAGGCTTCCATAACCACTGCCTGTCGCCTGAAAGCGAGAGAATTATGGGGGATTTTAGCGCAGTTTCACTAAATCGTGCAGTGCACTTGGGAAAATTATCGATGAAGGTAAAACGGTGAAAAAAAATTTTTAAAGCACTCGATACAGGTAAAGGCGCTAAACTGAGCTTGGTATTCATAAATAATAATATGAATAACTATTATTTAAGTGGCCTATATTCCGAATTTACTTCACTGATTATCCAGTAGGATAAGATTGAATACGATCAGGTTGATAGTGTTGTCAAATTCCAAACGTAGAAGAAGGATGAACAAACAGACTCCGGTGCATCGACTGGAGGTCATGAGACGCCTCAATCGGAAACTGAAATCCCTACAAGTCAGCCCGATTAGTTCAAATTGTACAGCCATTAGGCTTACATTTTGATTAGCTGGTCTCGACTGCTGTCGTTCTGTTACCCATCTGATTAACTAAAGAATGAAGCGCAAATTTGGGGCAACATTGGGAAAATGGATGCAAATAAAGTTTTTCGTCTTAGCCTAAGTGAGTCACTAGATTAGAGAATTTTGTTCATCTAACGCTTCCGAATTGAGTTCCTTATGCGATAGTAAACCACGATCTCGATGGATCTTACTTCGATTATCATGACGAAAACTGGTGCGCTAAGGCACCAAGGTTATGTAAGTGCGTGCACACGGGCAACTAGTTGGTGCACAATGCCTAAACTTCAGTTATGGAACAAATGCATACATAATGCTACTACTTTCCGTAAAATCATTCGTACAAGTTTTACTTTCCTAAACATCACCGTAAATCAACCTTCGTCAGTTTGAAGCGTTGCAAACACAAAAGATTCGTATGAAAATGAGACGGGATAGTAAAACGAGACTAAACACTAGTGACATGTTTGCATGCTAATCGAAAAACTGTAGGCAACGGTCGCATGAGTGGTTTAACCTGCTCGCAAAGAATTATGGATCGAAACGAGGCTTGCCAAAGCTTGCGCAAAAACAAACACAGGTATTTCGACCATCCGAGTCGAAAGTTGGTTGCTGGAAATATAATGTGTATGGCATTTTGTGGAGGCTTATTCGTATGTAATGATACTTATGAAAGATAGGAACAACTATGTTCAAGGTGCAACATCATCATCATCAGTCCAAATGATACATATGTCTATTGGGACAGAATGAATCCGAACAACAGGGAAGATCGAGATGGGTTGGGAACGATGCGGAGATGTTTTCTATCACTTGGGGCAAACATGCCATGATAAATAACCTGGCAAATAAGTGATATCTGAAGAAGACCAAAAAAGATCGGTTATTTACGAAGAACGAAATCCGAGCACAATGAAAAATATGACAATCGAAAGGAAAAACAATTTCTACAACAGAAGAAATGCTATGCCCGATTACGGTGAGGTGCAAACAGCGAGGGGAAATCACATCTATCCGTGAGCCCATACATCTGATATATTCGGCAGTCTGATAAGGACAAACGTCAAAAATTTACACCCGCACATAATCCAATTCTGATTGTGTCCAGAGAAACAATTACTGTGTTGGAATGTGGAACTCCAGACGACATTTATAATCAGTACGTGTGAATGGACAAGCGTTTCTAATCACACACAATGCAACAGTGGTTGGACGAATGTCATCATAATTCACATTCTGTAGATGGTCAAAGTTAGAAAATATGTTTAAAATGGTGCGTTGGTTG